AAAAGCCTTTAAATGGTCTTTCAGTCTAGTTCTATAGGCTACACAATCATGGGGAAGACTGCTGACTTGACAGTTGTCCAAAAGACGACCATCGACACCTTGCACAAGGAGGGCAAGACACAAAAGGTCATCGCTAAAGAGGCTGGCTGTTCACAGAGCTCAGTGTCCAAGCAGATTAATAGAGAGGCGAAGGGAAGGAAAAGATGTGGTCGAAAAAAGTGTACAAGCAAGAGAGATAACCGCACCCTGGAGAGGATTGTGAAACAAAACCCATTCAAAAATGTGGGGGAGATTCACAAAGAGTGGACTGCAGCTGGAGTGAGTGCTTCAAGAACCACCACACACAGACGTATGAAAGACATGGGTTTCTGCTGTCGCATTCCTTGTGTCAAGCCACTCTTGAACCACAGACAGCGTCAGAAGCGTCTTGCCTGGGCTAAAGAGAAACAGGACTGGACTGCTGGTGAGTGGTCCAAAGTCATGTTCTCTGATGAAAGTAAATTTCGCATTTCCTTTGGAAATCAAGGTCCCAGAGTCTGGAGGAAAAGAAGAGAGGCACTTCATCCACGTTGCTTGAAGTCCAGTGTAAAGTTTCCACAGTCAGTGATGGTTTGGGGTGCCATGTCATCTGCTGGTGTTGGTCCATTGTGTTTTCTGAGGTCCAGGGTCAACGCAGCCACATACCAGGAAGTTTTAGAGCACTTCATGCTTCCTGCAGCTGACCAACTTTTTGGAGATGCAGATTTCATTTTCCAACAGGACTTGGCACCTGCACACAGTGCCAAAGCTACCAGTACCTGGTTGAAGGACCATGGTATCCCTGTTCTTAATTGGCCAGCAAACTCTCCTGACCTTAACCCCATAGAAAATCTATGGGGTATTGTGAAGAAGAAGATGCAATACACCAGACCCAACAATTCAGAAGAGCTAAAAGCCACTATTAGAGCAACCTGGGCTATCATAACACCTGAGCAGTGCCACAGACTGATCGACTCCATGCCACGCCGCATTGCTGCAGTAATACAGGCCAAAGGAGGCCCAACTAAATACTGAGTGCTGTACATGCTCATACTTTTCATGTTCATACTTTTCAGTTGGCCAACATTTCTATAAATCCTTTGTTTTTATTGGTCTTCAGTAATATTCTAATTTTCTGATATGATGAATTTGAGATTTTCATTTGTTGTCATTTGTAGTCATCAAAATTAAACAAAATAAACATCTGAAATATATGAGTTTGTATGTAATGTATGAATATAATATACAAGTTTCACTTTTTAAATGGAATTACTGAAATCAATCTACTTTTTCATGATATTCTAATTTTATGACCAGCACCTGTACTGTGGTCCTCAGGACCCTAACCCTGCAGGTTTTGAGTGATTAACTCTTGGTGGCTGCTGAGGAGGGAGAGCAGTCATTTGATTGAGGTGTGCATCTCACACCATTTGTACGATATGCTGCAGTGCAACTACACTGAAGTATCAAATTAAGTCCATAGTTTTTGTTTAAATCACATGTAGCCTTCAAATGTTTGATTTTGTGATGAAAGAATGAAATATTTCACTCTGGGCAATTTAAGCAGAGAGAAGCCGCCCTCACAATAGTCAACATGTTATATAATTCTCATCTCATTGAGTCCAGTTTGTAGCAACACTGACGTAAGGTTTTTCTAATGTGAGACAAAAGATTATAGGCAAAGAACAGGTGTCCAGGCTGAACCTGAGACGTAAATATTAAGGCCTGTTTGCATAAAGCTGCAAAGCTTGTCAAATTAGCTCCAGAGAACCACTGTGGTGTTTGGATCAAACCTGTTTGGAAGATATGTTAAACAAATATATAAATATATTTTTCATCTACAGGTAATATGAACATTTCACCATAATCAAAAAAAAATCAATCAGAGAGTTGTTAACCAAAATCAAGAGAGTTAATTAAGCAAATATTCCGGCTTAATTAAACCTTGACTCAGCTTCACAGAAGCAGTAGCAGATGCAGTTGTGCTTGAAAGTTTACACACTCTTCGATTAAACAAAATGATAATTTCACATTATTAATTCCAATAAAAAGAAACTGAAAAAAGTAATAATAATAAAAAAAACTAAATAATAATTTAGTTAAAAAAAAATTGTCCTAGACAAATTAAAGTAACTTGCTCATGAAGAGTGAATTCAGCGATTGTCTCAAAGTGTTACCCAACATAACTCTAGTTCAGAAGCTCCATCAGGCTTGTTTACTTGTTTTGTTTAATTAACATATGTATGTACTGGTATTATATTAAAAATCAATTTTTATCTTTTTAATTTATTATTCCTTTGGCCAATTTAAATGTATTTTACTGGCAGCTATTTTTTTCCATCTTCATTTGAAAGGTATATAAACATTCAAGCATAAAAGTACATTTATTCTATTTATTTACCCTGCTCCAGACAGTTTTTGAGTTATGCTTTTGTTTGCTGTCAACAACATGCATTTATTATGTGCATTAAATTACTTAAAACACAGGCATGGAATTATGTATTGAGGTGATGAAGATTCTCAGTCATCCAGGTCATAGTCATTCCGTAAAAGTTCAACAAAAAAAAATCCACTGGACTTGGTTTTCAAGATTTGAAGACATTTCGCCACCTCTCCAGGAAGCTTTCTCAATTCAAATTAATTGAGAAAGCTTCCTGGAGAGGTGGCGAAACGTCTTCAAATCTTGAAAACCAAGTCCAGTGGATTTTGTTGTTGTTGAACTTTTACGGAATATGTATTGAGGTGTATTTATTAGCAATAAGCTTCTTTTTCTTAGCAGTTTATGAGCATCAGGTAAAATAAGCTGGATTGTGATGATCTGATCCAGCCATCCGGTCTGAAATCACAATCCTTTTCAAAACCACAGTCTTTGACAAAGGTTAATAGTCTGCCATAAAACATCCAACATCTATGTCAGAGGGCAACGCACAAGTGACAATAGTACTATATCTTATTCATTCAAATTCATTCATTCATTCATTCAAATTTAAAAAAACATGCTTTCAGTTCTTTGAGAGAGTAATTTAAACTTTTCATGCGCTAATCATCCTCCTGTTTTAGGGGCTCATGCAACTCAGTGTCATCTGAATAACAATGAAAAACAATCTTTACCATGAAAAATTAGCCAAGGGCAAGAGATACAGGGAAAATAACTTTCAAGCAAAATGAATTTTTGTGAGATTTGTGAAAACACAAACTCCTGAAAATACATGTTGTTCAATTTGAATTCTAAACAGTATCAATCTGGCTTTTGCCAGGTTAAGGGAAAATAGCAAAGGTCTGAGAAATGAGCCCTGAGGGAAACCACACAACAACTCCATACGCACAGATACTTACACAAGGCTCTAAGCAGGGACTACCCACATCAAAATATACACAATTATCAAATGGTTTCTTAAATCTTTTCCTGGGAGGACACAATTAGGGGGAAAAAAAAAAAACATTGACAATGCAGATTCTGCTATGAAAACATTCAGATATGAACACCTCTTTTTACTCAAGAAATTCTTCCAATTAGAAGTAAACACTCTTCTCCATAACCTTAGAAAAAGGGGTAGCTTAGAACTATCCTTAGCTATCTCTATAGTTATGGTGCTATAGGCTTAGAATTCTGGAGGACATAGGGACCCCCATTTCATCATTCTGCTTCATTCTATCTCTATTCTCCCACTCTGCAGAATCTGTCAGTTCAATCTCTAACATTATGCTCTCTGCTTCTTCTCATAGTAGCTTTGCCTCGTCTGTTCCTGCTTGGCTGTGACAGCATCCTGGAGAGAAATGTCAGCTGTGCTGCTGCCATCAACACCTCTGTTTATAGATGTTGGAGATCGGCCTGTTTTCCAGTGTAGTCCTGTTTCTCTGACTGTGACTGGATGGCTGTGCTGTCTTCATCCTCTGACATGGAGGCTGGCTCGGGGCTCGTCTGCCTGGCTGTGTGTTTCCTGGACAGGGCCGCCTTTTATAGCTTCTTTTTGTATCTCTGCTTCTGTCTCCTTGATCCCCAGTCAGCCTCAGCAGATGGCCGCTCACACTGAGCCTGGTTCTGCTGGAGGTTTCTTCCTGTTGAAAGGGAGTTTTTCCTCTCCCCTGTCACTACAAGCATGCTTAGTGGGAGGGATTGCATTCGAGTAAATGAGTCGATGCAATCAACTGGTTTTCCTTAGAAAACTTTGAATCAGTTTGACAGTATGATCTGGTTGAACTGTAAAGTGCCTTGAGATGACATGTGTTGTGAACTTGCGCTATAAAAATAAACTGAATTGAATTGAAGTAGCAATTATCCATTATCTTTAAATAGTTTTTGCACTATTGTAATTTAATCCTTAGGAACTACTCAAAGGACAGGCTGCTGTTACACCAAAGCAGATGGACCAAGGACAATAATAAGAAATAATAATAACATTGCACTTTTGTTTAACAAAAAGCAATACAAATCTAAATACATGCACCAGACCCTAAAATAATTCAGTTTCAATGAAGCTAGTCAATTGTATTTGTTCCTTTTCTTGTATTCTAAATCATATTAAGAAATCCTTGTAGGACGGGCTGCAAATTGAGGGTAAACAATTACATTTATTAGACATTCCACAAACAAAATATGTTTTAAAAAGTTGGATAGCTGTTAAAATGAAGAAGTATTGTGCTTTCCTTGAGAAATGTTGGATTTTACAAGTAAACCATTCAGAGTAAAACTAATCAATAGCTATACCTATAAAATCAGATTTGTCAGTAGAGCTGAATCTAATTTGAGAGCAATTAGAAATACCAAAGCAACATATTAATTCAAGAGAATATTGGTCATAGCTGAAGGATACATCTATCAAATCAAATTTAGAAACACAAACACCAGATGCTGAGTCTCAGCTTAGAGTTTATACAATCACAGATGCAAACACACACCCAGACACTGAACTGACTGCTGTCGTACCATCGTTAGATCATAGCTGCAAATCCTAATATGTAGATGAATGATTGACACTCACTCTGAGGCGCCTGTTCCGTTGATTGTGTTTCCATCAGGAATTGGGTTAAGCTGGATCGGTTCTGGCTTCTTTCTTTTCTGCATGTTAGAAGGAGGTGATGCAGGGATGCAGAAATGGGAGAAAAAAGAAGAAGAGATGTGGAATTAAACTGGATCTCTCGGGTGGAAAAAGCTCTGCTATCATAAACTGCAGAGGCAGAGCAGCTGATGGGTGGTGGATTAACGTCACAATATTTACACTGGTCTTCCGGACAGCATGGCAAAGATGGGTGCAGAGCTCCCTCTGCTGGTAATGTTTGAAACCAAATTTAAGAGATTTTATCATACAAACCACAGACTTACCAATAGCTTGCTTTTCCCCATTTATTTAATTTAATCTGTTGTATCATTATTTAGATAAAATACATTTCATTTGTATTCTAATTGTAACATTTTTTTAATCCTGTGATCACAAAATAATAATCTTCCCATAGAAGTTAAAATATTTCCTCTGCGTCTGTTTAAATGATCTGAAATTGCTAATAAAAAATAGATATTTCCCATGGCCATTAACAAGTTAATCAGGCTGGATGTCAATGTGGAGCCAACTGATCCACATTTAGCCTCCATTTAAATAGGAAATTATAGTTTATCTTGTTTTAATTGCATCACTTTGCTACATCATAACTTGATGCTTTTTTCGTTACAATTATTTTAAACCGAAGAACAAAAAAGTGCAACTTTAGATGAAGTGTCAATAAATTACTCTGCAAAAGTGGAAACGGAGCCTTGCGCTTAAAAAAAAAAAAAAAGAAAAAGAAATCTGATTGTTTTGACCAGTGGTGACGCTAGGAGAACGCTAGGGGGTGCTATAGCTAACCATGGAAATATCAGAGCTCTCCCAGACATCAAAGTTAGTATTTTTGAAAGTGGTTATTTTGATAATGTCCCAACAAAACACAACCAGTTAAAAAAAAGATTTATTTTTAATTGATTATTATTATCATCTTAATTATGATTACGAATTAATTGTAGATTTTTTTAAAATGCATAAAATATATCCTATTATTAGTGCATCATTTACAGATGCATTCAATAAGGGCTTTCTTTAAATATTATTTATTTTGTAACTTTTCAATCCTATAAATGGTCAAAATATCATATGGGACAACTCTCTGCCCCCAATTACTGTTTTGTAGAGGTCATGGTCATTGTCCTTTCTTTTGCAATTTTTAATATTATTAATATTATTTCATGTTGGATTTGCAGTCTCATATTTGAAAATAATTTAGATTTCTATCTCTATTATAATATTCAAAGGAGGGAATTTCTCAAATTTGACTGCACTGGAAAACATGATTTCGAGGGGGAACCCTCATCTGGTGCAACCATTGCAGAGAGCTTTATATGATAAATATATACCAGAAATTAGTCATGTTTTTGCTTTTTTTATTCAACTGAATATTTCTATGAATTACTGCTAATCTAAATTAGCCCTATTTTGATATTATTTATTTTCCCCCATATTATTTCATATACAACATTTTCTACTCATTACAAGAAAAGAAGTAAAAATAATTTTGGGCATGTTATCTCATTTATCTAATTTATTATATAGGTACATTTAATTTATCTATCTTACCTTATATTTGCTTCACTAGATTTCAAACTGGAAAGACTCACACAGACGAAAGCAGCAATTAGAAAATATTCAATTTATTTATATAGGTAACACAATCATTTTCTTGAAAAATATTTCTATCTAAGGAAAACCAGCTGATTGCGAAGACTCATTGACTCTCTGCAATCCCTTCCACTTAGCATGCATGTAGCGACAGTAGAGATGAAAACTATCTTTTAACAGGAAGAAACCTCCAGCGGAACCAGGCTTAGTGTGAACGGCCATCTGCCGAGGCCGACTAGGGTTCAAGGAAACAGAAGCAGATAGAAAACTATTAGAGTAGTCTTCCCCCAGGGCCCAGACACTGGTGGCGGAATAAGCCAGAGGATGACTGGGACTGAGAATAGCCTCAGAATGAGGGAGGAGATGGGGTCGAGGCGGGTGAAAGTTCACTTGCGTGTGGGAGAGAGAAGCTAGGCAAGGAGCTTAATGAAGGGGATCTTGCAAGATCATTGTCTTCGGAAAAGTTGCGGCCCCCGAGGCCCCTGGAGCAGAACGAGGGACATCGGATGTGGTTCAGGTGTAGCAGTCTTCCAGATTGAATTTACACTTAAGCTTCATTTCAGTGGTAAACCAATTAACTTACATGAAATCACTACAGTGATTTCATTCTAACAGTATATATACTATATTACTCTATAGAAAGGTTTTTAGATGTTTTAACTGAATAGCATAACACCACATATTTATTGTTCATTATTGTTGACTTTTGTAGATTTAAAGCCACTTTCACACCGAAAGCCTGGGTTTTTCAAATCCGGGTTGACCCGCTAACAATCGGCTTGTGGCTGTTTTCCTATTTGACCAAAAAGTCAAGTCTAACCCCCTACTGGCAAGCTGCATGATCACTGTCACCCACCACTACATGTGTGATGATGGAATCACGCTGGGGGAGCTTTGCTGATGTTGACAGTGCAACATAAGCAATGCTCACATTCAGCGACAAACAGGAACTCTTTCAAGCTGGGCACCGTTTCATTCACAACACCTGTCCCATCAACCAGGAGTCAGAATCAGAAATACTTTAATAATCCCAGGGAGAAATTACTTTCGTTACATTACTCCATCTGTAATAGAGTGACTATAGGACCAGTTTGATATAAAACAATTTTAAAGAATATATAATTAGGGGTTTGTTGAAGACCCCTGTTTTACATCATTTATATACCTCTTGGACATAGAGAAGCCCAGCATATACTAGCCTACCTTAAAAGCTAAAATTTAAATACAATATGGCTTCAGATTCGTCCATTTTACTGTATTGAGAGAAGATAAGTGTGGCACGAGTGATTTAGTTTTAAAGAATACATTATATTTTTGTCTCTAATTAAAAGGGACCAACAAAATAGATTTACTGAGATATCAGAAATGAGTTATGTCTTTTTATCGGATTATGTTACTCCAATTAAAGAACATCCAACTATTGAATAAGTCATTATTTCAAGGTATTTACACTGAACAAAAATATAAAGACGTCCCATTTGGTGTTCCTCCAATTTTTCATTTGCTGAATGGAAATATCTTAGCTTTTTCTAACTATTGTTCACAAATCTGCTCATTTTGTGTCAGAGAGCACCTCACCACTATAAGTAGCTATAACATAGCTTGTCTTTATGATTTATTTTGAAGAACCCAAGATGTTTAATGTTTGTCTGCTTGTTTAAATAAAGGCACTGCTAACATTCAATTAGTGAAAGATGAAGCAAAATAGAAAATCAAATTGGCAGATATTTTCAATTCAGGGCCTTTGATCCTCATAATAATTTTAATTATCCTTAGTTATGAATACTAATTTGGCACCTGGCCTCTTCAGCCCTCTTCATGCTGACGTGTAGCTCATTACTGTAATAATTATGCCTCAGGTAGTTATCCTTTTTACTGTCTGCAAGAACAAAATGAAGCAAACCCTGCCCCTAAAAATAAGTAAACCCCCCATCCAGGTATATGAAGGTTTCTGTCACTTGTTATGTTGCATATTATAGATTGAGATGCAGTAGGTTATGGATAGAGTAAAAAGGTCAGCAAATATTGAGAGAAAATATTTCATCCGACACCTATAAAGAAATCTTTCTAGTTTTTATTGCTTCCGTGTTCTGTGAAAAAGTTTCAGTTTCTGGCATGCAACCGACTGAACTCTAGTTTCCCTTAATAACATTTCAAAGTAATTTTAGTATGTTATGTCATCATCATTCTCTCAGTCTGCTTGTGAAAGTTCTGGACATCTTCAGCTTTTGTTTTATTTATTGCAGTTCAAAATCATTATGCATTCAAAATGTGATTTCATCCACTGCAATATCCTTTCCTCTTTAATATGTCCCTTCATCCACATTTTTGATCTTTCTGTTTGCTCTCATGGCAGTTTAAGATCCATTGAGCATTTATTTTTCCATGAGGTTATTGTTATTTTTATAAGTACGGAAACAGACAGATCTCCTGTTAATATTGCCTTAGCAAAAGCTGAAGCAACATTATTTTAATTATGAATCAAATCCTTAAATCTGACTATTTTAAGTCAAATATTTGCATAAAGACCTCCGACAGTCAAATCTATTTATAATATCATAAACCTTTCCATTTGGACTTTGTAGGGCAGCATTAAAGACACGACTCAAGGAGGTGGAAGAAATTTTTCCCTCTGATCAAAAAAATTTGTTGAAAATTTTGATGGTTTCCAACATTAATGAGACGACAAAGATATTCAGCTAACAATGTATTTAATGTGGCACAGTCAAAGAAGTACCAACATTACTAAAGGTATTTTTCCTTTAAAAGATCAATAAAGCTTGAAGTTGTGACTGGTTATATTGAGATATTTCAGCAGTCATCCCTCTTGCATTAGGATCCTACTCTGTATATTCTGGGTCGTTTTAAAACCAATACTACAATTCACAATAGCTGTCTGAACAACGGTCTTCTTAGAGCGTTATGTAAGACTTATGTAAATTTTAAGGCTGGGACATTAATGCGTTAATTTCGATTAATTAATCACACAAATATTAACGCGTTAAAAAAATTTACGCATTTTAATCGCACACCACAGTCTCCTGGAAGTCGTTTGGGATTTCACCCAAGTAATTATTTCACCTGTGGGGGCAGCATTAGAACTATGGCCAGAATACCGTCGGACGGAAACTGAAGAAGAAGAACAGAGAAGAAAGTTGCTTTTAACTAGAAGGAGAGACAACCATGGAAGAATTAGACGAAGCAGATGAAAACATTTTAGTTGATCCTTTGCAGGGGAAATTTTGTTTTAAAATACAGGAGGGAAGAGTCGATAAGAGCTGTGGATGGGCTCTCATGATAGAGCCCATCCACAGCTCTCTGTCCTGGCCCGCAAGTATCTAGGCAGCCCTGCCACTTCGGTACCTTGCGAAAGATTATTCTCCCTGGCAGGTAATATAGTTCAAAAGAAGAGGGCAGCCCTGAGCTCCGAAAATGTGAACAGGCTAGTATGTCTCAGCAACTGGCTGAAAGAGAGGAAGTAATCAGTTAAATGTGTATCCTGAGGCCAGTTGGCCAGTTGTGTTTCAAATGGGAAAAATTGGAGGTCAATCACTGTCACTTTAT